ATGCAGTACAATCCCCGTCCCTCGCCAACTCGAGCATCATACAACACGAGAATGGTATTGTCACGAGAATCACTACACGCTGTTCGACACCGCAGAGATGTGTCTACAGACGAAGTTACAGTGGCTATTCACCGGCATAACTCGGACGTTCCTCTGTCATATCCGGCTGAACAACGAGAAATTGACGACAGGAGACGAACTGACTATCCACCCCACCAGGGTATGTCAGGCATGAAGATTGCCACATAAGCAAACATCAAAAAAAAAAATCCACCGGCCAATATCACCTCAATGCATCCTGCACATTTTATCAAATAAGTACTTTATTGCACTGCGAGATGCACAAGCCGTCAACTTTGTGTTCCATAATAACGAGTGTGAAACTCGTGCTTAACGTTGCGTGCCAAGCTCAATACCAAATTACTCCCTCGACCCCTTGAATGGTTCCCTGAACTGCGCGGGTCGATCGCTCTCTGGTACGAGAGGTGAAAAAAAAATTGACCGAGTCAATAACAAAATTGGAATGCTATTCCCATTTTTCTGATGTTTTACTTTCCCCCCTCCCTCACGGAAAGAAAAATATACCTGAATCAAGTATATTTTATACTCAATTGGGGGATGGGTATTTCAATTCGAAAATGATTCTTTTGTATTTCTGTTTCAGGTTGTAGTAAGCCCTCTTGAGTGTAATATAAGGGTCAGGCACTAAGTGTCAGAATATAAGGGTCAAAAAGTGGAGGTTAAAAAATGAGGGTCAGAACATAAAAGTAAAAAAAGTGGGTGTCAGGCAATGAGGGTATAAATATAAGTCATATATTATGCTTGATCACTGTTCTTAGCCCTTATATAACCCTTATTGTCTGACACCCACATTTTTTACTTTTATGTTCTGACCCTATTTTTTCATCCTAATATTCTGACCCTCTTTTTTTAACCTCCACTTGTTGACCCTTATATTCTCCCACTTGGTGCGTGACCCTTTTATTACACTTGAGAGCGCTTGGTACAGCCCGGACTGATACAAAATAATCATCCGCGAATTGAAATACTGATCCCCTATTCGAGTAGAAAATACACTTGATAAGTATATTTTATACTCCATTCAGTTATATTTTTTTTCCGTGCTCTCACTCCTTTTGTTCCCGGTTGAATAATCCGAGTGCAGCGACTCCAGTTGGCTTTGGCAATCAATGCAACTGAAATATATGAAGAGAAGTTGTCTGCAGTCAACAAGTTCTCCACCACTAGTTGTTGAATTCGTCCTTCCACATCCAACAAACTTTTGTGAACGAGATTTAGTCTAGGATTCGGTATGTTTCCATGAAGTCTGAGTGTTACAGAGTTCCTCCTCTGCCAGTGACATGTTATCTCTGTCATCAGTTTCCGTTAGCTTCTATCTGGAAGTGAAAATACCTCCAAAATCAATGGATAATTGTGGAGGGTGCAAAAAGGGATGCAATAAATGAATGAGTGACCTACAATCAGGAAAATTAATTTGTCTTAATGGGCGAGTGACACGTGATCAATTGTACTAATCTCCGGATAAAACAGTGTTTGCGTGCAACAGTATGCATGGCATTGATGTCGAATATAATGGAGAAGTGGACGATGCGCAGTCCCAGCCCTTTCAATGGCCAGCCGAGTGGAATGATCACGATAGAAACTAGATCGATTTGGTCTTTCGTATGGTGATACTGTCTGTCATAGAGTCACGCGATCGTCAGTGCTCATCCACTGAAAATTCTACGTGTTGCCACTGGAAAGTGTTTATGCGAATTCATTGTGTTCATGCAAATCTGATCCAGCGCTTGAAGAACTAGAGAAAAACGTAGAGAAAAAAAAGCTTCTGGTTTCCAGCGCCAAATCAGCACGGAATAAGGGACTGGTCAGTAAAAACTGGTTGTGATCAGCTTTGGATCAGATTTGTAGCCGTTAAGATACATTTTTGGTTTTATTTTCTTAAGGTACTTCCTCAGTTAGTTATGTGGGAACAGTCGACAATGTACACGGAGAAAAATTTTCTAGAAAAATTCTAGTACGAGTACTGGAAAAAATCACAATCCACCGGCTGTGAAAAATTCTAGTGTTGTTAAGGTAAAATTCCTTGGTATTTCTAGTAGAATTTCTGGGGATTTCTGTGAAATTTTCACAGAACTGGCATTTTGAGCGGCTCAAATGAGCTGAGGGAAATCCCTTAGGTGGGCGATACATGCACCAGCTCTCCTACGAAATATCACGTCACGAAGTATTTATTATAGTATTGAATAAGTATTTAAATAGAAAGCTGTTTGATGCATATATCTTAACATATCCGTTATTTATATCCGCCAGTCGTTTACCTCGTTCTCCGGTTCAATAATCTAAGCCGGTTTTGTTGTATTCAAGTTAGGGCTTTGCAGACACCTGAGCTTAAAGCCAGATAAAAGCAGCAGCAGTCGTACTTGCCGCTTCTCCATTCCAGCTGTGTCCCATCATTCATCTCGTTTACTGGCCTCCTCCCCTTCCACCCGGGAGCGTGATACATCAGCCACTTTACTTCCGGCTTGGAGCCAAGTACGGAAATACAGAAGTTATGCTACATAGCCTTAAGCCAGACTACCTTTCTTCCTGCATTACGAAGACGCGTGCGCCATTTCTGGATGCATTAGACTCCCTAATACTGGCCCTAAAGATAACACCAACTCTTACGGGTAATGTGAGTTAGTTGGTGGAGTTTGTTGACGTATGATGTTCAAAATTCTATTGGTGGTTGTTCAAGGGTGAATAGGGCGGTTAGTCTGAATACCGGGGGTAGGGGAGAGAAGTCAAATTTCTCCTACGGCACTGGAACATTTGCGGCTCTCATGATGAGAAACTTCTTTTCACAGCAAAAAACTTTCAATCGCCGAGCAATTTCGCTTCGACTAAAATTGATGTTTTTTATTTAAAGTGAGTTATCAATGAATTAGGGATAGCCATATTCATAAATCAATTCAGTAGCCAAGCGGTAACCCGGTTGAAGTCGATTTTGACTTTCGGCCAATTTCTAATGAATATCTCGGAATCTAAGAGAAATAGCAAAATTTGGTGGCACCTCTTTTCAACTATGCGACATTTCAACTGAAATTTTCAACTAGTTTTTGTGAAATTACTATATTTTTAGGAATTTGCCAAATTTTTTGATTTTCATTTTTTTTATTCTTTGCTTTTCAACAGACAACGTAATGCAACTCAGTTTAACTATTCAACTAACACATTAATGATTAATATCATACAAAGATTCAATTTGATTTTCTATCAACAATTATAAGAGATCAATAATTTAGTATTAATAATTAATTCGATAATTTTTTTTTTGCTGTTTTCCGAGTAACTGAATTGATTAAATTGTATTTCGTATGGATTATCCTTTTTCAAATTTTACGGGGATTGATACAATATCATTTCGCAAGGATTATCCCCTCTCAAATTTCTCACCGGAAAATGTAGATATGGGTATGAATTCGTAAACACACGAATATTTTGTTTGAATTAATGACGTTTTGAGAGATTTAGGAAATGCAGTCTTCTCAACTCGGCGACATTTAAATTAACGACAATAATTAATAATAATTTCATCCCTTTGGCGTGTATTTAAATTTGAGCAGTTGAAATGTCGTAGTTGAAATGTTGCCTAGTTGAAAAGACATGGATTCAAAAATGTTTCTCATGACTTTTTTTATAACCCTCAATTGGCTCCGCAAAAAAATCATGACAAAATTTGTTCTATCTCTTTTAGATTCCGAGATATTATAAGACTAATCTCAGTTCAAACGGTTGCCAAGATTGGCGATTGTCGGAAATTTGTTAATGACAAATCAGTAATTCATTGAATCGGAATTTCGTTTGCGAATTGATGAAAATTCGCTCGATAAACGAGAGGTTCGAATATGCATCTGACATCGAATTCAATTCCGTATTGTTTATGTATTGAAGAAAAATATTAAAAATAACTTGAAAAAAACAATCGATTCGCATTGTGTTGATAATTTCATAGGGAAATTTTTAGAATTTCGATATTTCCAAAAGTACGACAGATAATGAATTTTTATTAATCACGGAAAGGGTCTATAAATGGCATGGACGGCGTATTTGAGGGGTTAATATTAATTAAGGAATATTATGAGATGTTGCACCTTATAATAATTGATGTTTACTTATTTTCATTGAAATTTGAAAAATAACATAATTGGTAATTTAAATTGTCGATTGACTATGAATTAACTAATTGACAATATGGAATTGTGCATTGACAATTGAGCAAATATTTCTAAATTTCATAAAAGTATTTTCGATTAGCCAAATAATCGTCAATCTTCCGAACTCCAGTATTGATTAATAAAAATTTAAAAATTGGTGAGTAACATTAACAATTGACTTAATCAAAATTTAACTGTAATTGGAATTTATGATTATGCCGATGTCTGGGAAATATTTTTCTCCCTGTGATAATGAAATCCTCGTGTTTTCAAAATATCTCTCCTGAAGTCTTCTTAATTGATATCGATGGTGAGACAATGCTATATACATTCGATTCTCTCCATTGTAGAATCCATTCTCTTCGATGGAAGATGTGCTCGAGGTTTATCCCATATTCGTTTCTGTCTCAAAGGTAGAAAATGGTTTTTCTTCCGAGTGCCATTGTGTGATTCATTTGATGTACCAAAAAGAAAGTGACGAAGTCTTTGTTCCCGATTCTCCACTTACTAACAACCCGAGCACTCACCTCTGGCCTCCCTGCACTCTCTTAAAACTTTAATTATTTCCAGTAGAATTTTACCAGGCGTTTATTCTGAATATGCAGATTTTTTTTTTACTCGCTTGGCAAAATTAAATTTCCCCCTGGAAATTCTTGCAGCTGAGGCTAACATGAAAAACAAACGAAATGCTGAAGGAATATTTAACATTGCGAATGGTGAAATGATGTGGTGCGAGTTTGCATTCTACATCACATGCAAATTATTCTGTTAATACTATTACAGTTACAAAGCTGCGCGAGCACTGGGACGAGACAAATTCAAAAGTTATGCAGCGAAAGACGCAATTGGATGCTATGCTGGGTGACAGTCAGAGATACGAGGCAAAACGAAATGAAGTGGAAGTGTGGATCGATCGAATGGAGCTGAGACTCACGAGAATGCGATCTGTGGGGCACACTGCTGATGTTCTTGAGGCACAGCTCCGAGAGCAGAAGGTACATTTTTCAGTCAATAAACTCATGCATAGATTCTCCAATCTGTCAATACCATTTACACAATTTATGTTTATTTTTCTGCAGTCCTATCACGCTGAACTCCATCAATACAAGCATCAAATCGAGCTGTTCAATCAATTAACACAGAAACTAATAGCCGTGTACCAGCAGGATGATACAACACGTGTCAAAAAAATGACTGAAACAATCAATCAACGCTATAACAATTTGAACACCAGGTAAACGCTGCAAATAACAGTTTTGCTTGTGAATGGACGCCTTGTATTTGACGGATTTTTCGATTTTCTAATTGGGATTGCAAATGGTGTAGAATGTCATGAAACGTGAAGACATGATGAACCGCGATGAAGCTGAAACTAGCGAAAGATTCGATAGGAGAAGATTTGTCTTAGGCGAATCTAGGGATATACAAATGTTTTTAAGTAATGTACAAACTCTTTCGCACTTAAAAATATTTGTACATCTGATTATTTCACTCTTCTACACTTAAATATCCCCTAAATGGAATTTTCTGCCGGCGAATATTCTGCTAGTTTCACCTTCATGTTTTTAGGGTCACGTCTGTATGTATATATATGATACCTTAGATTTTTGGTGATTAATTTTTAGAAAATTCATAAATACGGTGAAATTTGTAGATAAAAATCTGAAATTTTGGCTCATTGTAGCTGTTATTCTTCAAAAACTACTGCACTGAGTTCCATTTTTTTTTCGAAATACTCGTCTCGAAGGCCTCTATCTGTATCAAATATATATATATATATATATATATATATATATATATATATAT